TTAGATTATAAGTGCCATCAATTCGTTATGAATACAAGCACTGATCAATTCTATATATGGAGTCCATAACACTATGCAGTAACTGCTGCAACAACTCTATTTTAGCAATATCCATTCATAATGAATTGTGATTATTCGACAATTACGTTGTTAAACCACCATGCACTGAATGAATTCTGCTTGTGTTCTCATACCCCCAGACAAAATCCTGCCATTACATATATTTGTATAAATGCACAATGCTAGGTGAAGGGTATCTTAGTCCACTTATCAGTGCTGATCCACCAAGCATGGCAACTGAATAGCTACTTTGATTGTCTGAATAAAAAAAAAAGCAACCACTTTTTAAAATCATGGTGAATGCACGTCTTTTTCAATCATGTGCAAAGTACAAATAGTTAATGCAGTCAAATTACAAAAGCATATGAAAGGGCAACAGAAAAAGATTATCAATTTTTGATAGTAGTGAATGTAACATCTGCTGACAGTCAGATGTTTTGCATGGATGAATGTGGCAGACAAGTTTTAGCTTGAGCTGCAGTTATTTGATCACACCATGTATGATGTTCTAGGAAGTTGCGAGTACCTGCTCATAAATATGCCTAAAACAAACTACAATGTAAATTTTAACACCGTCCTTTAAGGTAAAATGTTTATTTTTACATGTGCACATATTTTAGTGAATTAGCAGTGTCAAAATTGGTCTAGTATTAGTTAACAGTATGAAAACTTTTTTGGTTCACTGTCCAACATTTTAGCTACTATTTATATTGCCAATTTTTCTAGACATCAAAATGTAGCTTATAATACCAGTAAATCTTTTTTCACCATATGTCACAAAGCACAACTTTTGAGATGCAATGGTAAATGTCCTAAAACAACTCATGCATGCGTATAGTGACCCCCATATTTTTATTCCATTTTTCTGTATTTCTGTAACATGATATATCGAACATAAGAAAGCAACAATATCTTTACTCTTGTGTAGCATTCTACCTAGAGTATATTTGACTACTTTCCTTGTTTCTGGTGAAAAGACTTTTGTAAAAAAAGGAAAAAGAAACAAATGAATATATGCTTGACTGAAAGTTTATTTTAAAAAAAATATAACAAAAATGGGTAAACAAATTTATAAACTTATCGGTGGTCAAAACATCAAATGTGTGGTAACTCATGGCCGAGACGTCATGTCTAATTGACCAACGATTCATAAGAGGCATTTTATAAAATCATGATAAAAATATCACTTATTAGTAGAACGGAATCAGCACAAAATCAAAGTCTACAATGTATTGTGTGACAAGCTTGACAATGCAATACATGCAAAGAAAATAAATTGTGGGTCTTTGAATTGAGAACTAGAAAGCTTTTCAGTGTTTGACCTGGAAATACATCCATGTGGAGTGATAAACCAAAATATACAACAGTCCAGTTAACAGTCACAAAAATCAAAATAATTATTTACACTCTTATTTAAATGCAAATCAATTCTTAAACATTTCTTTTCATGTTGTACAAAGGTTGAAATGTAGACATTAATTTAATTCCCCAAATAGTTAGGTCAGCAATAACAATATGCGTTTTTTATTAGAAGTTTGTTTAAGCATCTTTTTTAGCAGTTATTTTAGAATGAAATACAGCATCATCTAGTCTATGCACAACACTAATCATTTGAAATTTGAATATTGCTACTATATAATTACATGACATGTACAAATATTTTGAAATTTTCAAAAATAATTACAAATTAAATGCATAGATCCAATTGCATACTGTACCAATAAACAAGACCATCTAAAAAACGAGCCAGAATTGAATTGAACAAATTATGCAAATTGCAGAACATGTTGAAAATGGCAAACTTGGATTTACCCGTTCATGCAAGTCAACATGATAAAGATCAATAATCATAATCTCCAAATGTCACAGACATCATTTTATTATTTTTTAGTCCAAGAGTGTTGTAAGGTTAGCAATTTTGTGTATAATCCCACACCTGATTATATTTGTTTACAATAGATAGTCCAGTAGTTTATCAGAACTTAAAACCATGAATAAGTTGTCAGAAAAGCCTGTGGTGACTGACAAAACTTAAAAACTGTCATATCTTGACAAATAGATTTTCTATAACAATCATCCTCTTTATTTTTTTAAAATATAATTCCTGACTTTGTTTCATCAAGTTCCCCAAAAAACGCAAAGAAATTGAACGATTCATGTTTTACCTCTCCCCCTAGAGTGAGTCCCACGTTGCAATACACTGCAATACACGTAAAGTAATAGCATGTTTATTCAAAACAATTTGGTCAATGCCCCAAGTTTATTTTGTCTACAAAAAAATATTTCAATAAATTTCATAAAAATGTATTGATTAACTTACCGGGTAATAGGTAATATCACCACGAAAACTTTCATATAATTTAGAGATTGAAAATAAACTGAGATGAACACCAGAGTAATATTGAACCTCAACTCATCCATGTTAACCATCAATAACCATGGCAATACTAGACTAATGGTACAGACGACTGGCGGGCAGAGACAGCTAATGCAACTGAATCACTTAGGGTGGAGACACTGGCATCAATTCTGCCATCAGACAAATCATAGACTAAAATAATCATGAATATGTAAAAAATTCCATGAAAATCCCCTTTTTTACGGTTCAATATGAAACAGGTACTATATTGTCAGTTATTTATGAGACATCCGCTTACAAAACTATATTGTCAGTTATTTACAATACATTCACTGGCAGTTGTTGACAATAAAAAAACACCTGCAAAACAAGTTCATTTTTGATTGAAGGCAATTAATTAATATGCCTAGCTTAAACATGTGCAGTTAAGGTTTCAGCACATTCGTTGTAATGCATAAAAAAACAGAACAGCGGACAACACAAAGACTGCATCCAAACAACACTAATGTGAATAATGCAGAGACAAAAGTGAAAATTTAACCTTTTGTTCAAGAAAAAATGTATTATTGCTCCAGTGAAAGTTGCATTTCAAATTAACTACAAAAAGGGTTTATTTTCAAGATCGGCATGGTGTTAATTTGTAATATGCAGCTCAGAAAAATTTGAAAGGATGTTATGTACCAGCTGATCAAAGGCTGACATCCACAGTCAGAGATTATTATATTTCTTTACTTCATTTCAAGTATGTCAAGATCATCAATGATTATAATAATTACAATTACAATTTGTTTTATTAATCTCTCAATGTAGCAGTATTGATAGCTGGCTTGTTTTGTTGATGAAGGTATGTATGTGTTAACATAGCATGGTGTCACCACTACCCCATATTGCACAGATTGTAGCAACTAAACATTCCTAGCATTAATGGGTTTGATTTCAGTGTCAACTGTTGACAAGACACACACCAACTTTGCATTATTCTTTTAGTTAATTTCATTATCAATAAATTACCTAAGCCTACGATCTACCAAGTCATTGAAGCATAGGTTTGTAATATTAATTTTATTTTTAATAAACTATTTTACTTAGTAGACAATTTAAAAAAATAGCCAGCTTATATTTAAACAACAAAAACAATGCCACCAAATGATTCTATTGTTTAAATGTTGATACTAGAATTCAGAAATATGGGACAGTAATTCTAGGGATATAGGACTATGGTAATAAGTCGATATTAATACACTGAACATGTAATTGGCATAGATACACTGTCATGATACTTCACTGTGTTATACATGTCACAATGACAAGTGTAAAACTAGTTGAAATTATCATTTCTGAATGGCAGCCATCTTTTTTTTGCTATGATGTACACCTTCACTACATTAGGTAAATTGGGAGGGGAGTCTCCCAACTCTTGAGTTGGGTATTAAAAATTTGATTACTTATAAACATAAAATCAACGATTAAGGATTATAAAAATATTTCACTTTATATCCACAGCCAATGAAAAAAAAGGTCTTTTTTATATAACAGAGGTCAGACCTGAGGCCTCTTTAAACTCATCTGGCAAGTATTCCAGATCAATGTTTTACTCTACCACATTCCTGAAATTCAATGTCATTACATGGAGTTTAAACAGAAATTTTCTTCAAACATGTTTTGTATAATCACTGCTACCGATTGGGGAATTATATAGACGTCCCATTTTGTTAACATATTATACAAAGCTATTTCTGATAGATGAATAAACTATGAATCTACAAGGCATATGACATAATAAGTGTTATTGTACTTCAATACATGGGAACAATATACAAGCGAATTAAATAAAAAAAATCAATCAGCAAAAATGATGTACCAGGAAATATGGTTCATTTTATAGTATTTGTTTTTACTGTGGTTCTCAGCAGAGGTAAAGTGGTGACCACAACACACTAGTAATAGCAGTAACCTTCAAGGAGTCAGGCCACAATGGTAACCCATTGAAAACTGTTTTCTCATAGTGTAAGAGTCACAATGGCTCACTAAGATCTCAATGAAAAGGAAACAAATATGCCATCACTTTAAAACTTCCTCAAGTTTTAGCTGGGATTTCATAAATTCTGGCAGAACATTATCAGTAGCAATCTGGTTATCTGATGTATTTTTTTATGCAGGAGTTTGGCCCCCAGAACATGGATGCCATTTTACATCAAGATTAGAAGTATCAAATTAACATAAACATGTTTACATAAAAGTGAGGTACTGCGCACTGCAGTTATAATGAATACAGTTTTGTTTTTTTTAAATCAAAACATATTAATGTGAAAAAGTACTGAACATGGATGAACAATTTGTAACATGAAATCAGTTATAAAATACAGTGGGGTAGCTTTAAAAAACACCACCCACCATCACCACCATCAGGATTACTTCTCTCATGTTACAAAATTTTCTTGATAACGTTTTAGAGAAACAGTCAAGAAATTCTCAGCACTCAGTAACTGGGTTTTGGGAATGACGACTGTGAATATAATAGGTATGTATAGTGAATAAATAAATATGCAAAACAGTGTTAAAACGTGTTTTTGTACGCTACCTTTCAGCTCATCAGCAATAATATCCGTGAAATCTGGTTCTTCTCCGTACCAATATACCCATAATTCGCGAGTACGGGAGAGTTCAGATCTGTTGCTTGCCCCTGGGGGTGGCGTCTCGATGTTAGGGTCGGGTATAACCCCAGGTACCTTGCGCCATACGCTTAATATATCGTTTGCCAGACAGTTGGCGAACGACCGCAAAACGGGGTCGTCGAGGGGGCCAACGAGAGGCCCATGGCTTGTCGCCGTGTAGCTACGCCATTTGATTCCGCTTAGGTCGGTCTGCAGACGGAGAAAATAAAATGAAACAAGGACATGTTACCAATCGACCTTATCACATTCAAAACTGGCGAATTTAAAAATAGCGCAAATATGGTTGAAATTTGAGGACATTTACCACATAGCCGATTAATTTACACAATTGCTACCGATCACAGGGCGAGACTTCACACCTTTCCGGTCACAGTTTATAGCTACTCCACCTGATTCCACGTTAATACTACAAAATATGTCATAAACTGATCACAGATCGTCAAAGTTCAGGATGAAATTAGGAACGAAATCTCACAAAATATGCACAGTCAATTTATTTGTTACAATAACTTACCAGTGCAAACAAATTCGAGTGACAATCCTCCAGACTAGCACCATTCGCCACCAGATTTGCAGCAGTCATGCTCCAAGCATGACTTCACCGTTTCAACAAGAACTTTCGGCGATGGATCGCGGCTGAGGTTCCTAAAATCGCTTGAAAATCGAGCCCAATTTGTTCGGAAAATTCACAATTGGACAGCGTAATGGCGACTTAGTGATGGAAAATACAAGGCGGTAATTACCTCGACGTTGATTGGGCAATTATGGTCACGTGGTCTATGGCCTTGATTAATATGTAGTCAGATTTCAAAGCACAAGTTTTCTGTTTCGCACATCAAATACTCCGTCCTTTTCCCAGAATTGAATGTTTTTATTTCATTTACTTTTATTTTATATGATTTCTCGTTTATTCTCATTGTATATAGACAGATTCTATATATATATATTTACTTCCTGCACCTGGCATAAGGCAATAGTAATAATCGTTTCTTTTTCAGATTTCAGTAGTTTTAACAAATATCAAACACAAACAAATACAATAAAACAAGAAGATAAAGATAAAAATACAAAGTTTAGTACTTTTTCATGTCCAGATTAATGTTGCTTTTGTTATATGCACTTGAATGTCTTCATTAACAATTTACTGAACCCAAAACCAAAACGACTTTGACCTCAAACCTGTTACCTGACGACCAGGAGTGAATACATATAAATACTAGACGTTATGACGGTTACTAACAGTGATTCTAACTGGAGTATTCTTTAAGTAACGTGCATTTGAATGCAAAGTACTCATTTTGATTTGAATGTATATCAATGAACATGATTTTCAAGATGAAATTGTTTGAATACATATTGGTTTGAATGTGAATTTACTTGTGACTATTATGTAGTGTAATACATTTCTATTATGTCATAAATCAGAAAAAGGACAGTTTTATCAATGATTATGTGACGATTTGATAACGCAGTAATTTAAATACGTATTGGTTTGAATGTAAATTTACTTGTGAACATGTAACGTAGTGTAATACATTTCTATTATTTCATAAATAATAAAAAAACGACATTTTTTATCAATGATTATGTGACGATTTGATAACGCAGTAATTTAAATACGTATTGGTTTGAATGTAAATTTACTTGTGAACATGTAACGTAGTGTAATACATTTCTATTATTTCATAAATAATAAAAAAACGACATTTTTTTATCAATGATTATGTGACGATTTGATAACGCAGTAATTTAAATACGTATTGGTTTGAATGTAAATTTACTTGTGAACATGTAATGCAGTGTAATACATTTCCATTATGTCAAAAATCATAAAGAACGCTATTTTTTATCAATGATTATGTGACGATTTGATAACGCTGTAATTTAATTCTACCACTAACATTCTCAACTATCCACAACCATATACAGCATATATATCCGGCAATGGTGAAACACCATTCTGATGATCTACCACCACCATTCTCAACTATCTACAACCACTTTCAACGTCTAGGACCAGACGCCCAGATATCAACACCCACCATTCTAATCATCTACCACCAACATTCTCAACTATCTACAACCACTTTCAACGTCTATGACCAGACGCCCAGATAGCAACAACCCCCATTCTAATCATCTACCACTAACATTCTCAATTATCTATAACAACTTTCAACGTCTATGACCAGTCGCCCAAATATCAACACCCAACATTCTAATCATCTACTACCAACATTTTCAACTATCTACAACCACTTTCAACATCTATGACCAGACGCCCAGATATTAACACCCACCATTGTGATCATCTACTACCAACATTCTCAACTATCTACAACCACTTTCAACATCGATGACCAGACGACCAGATATCAACAACCATCACTGTGATCATCTACCACCAACATTCTCAACTATCTACAACCACTTTCAACGTCTAAGACCAGTCGCCCAAATATCAA